GAGAGACTTGGCCTGGAATAAGCTAGATTATAATTATTATATATAAGCAAACAATTGAGAATTTTGCTGACGCTATGAACTTGCTTGACTTGATCTAATATACTGTATTTTAGTTATAATTTTTCTGTAACTTAAAAGGACATGCATTTTTCAGTGAAGTTGTCATTCATAAACCTTGTGACTTTAGAAGCCATTCTCTATTTTTGGCTAAGGGTTGTGTGGAGGGTGGATGACACATCAGAACTTGATCTACCCTGTACATTCTGTACTCGGAACAAAAACTGAAAAAACTTTCTTTGAGATTGGTTTAAGCTACTCCAAGCAGCTATCAACATGATCAAATAGTAATATGGATACTCCCTTCTGAACCATCTATGTGTTACAGATTGAACTAATGTATTTTAAACAAATACTGCACAATGAAGATATGGAAAGGCTTTTCATTTGGGATCCCCAGATATGTACCTTACATGTCCATGAATGCTGGCTTGAAGATTCTGGACATGTTCCTTACATTGCTCCGTTTCTTCTTTTGGACTGGGAGAGAAGTTAACTTCAAACTGAGTAGCTGAGAACAAACTTTTGGATTTAGTTTGAAGTTATATAGCTGGACTCATCAAGCACCACAGTCTAGAATATGAAGCTGGGATTTTTGACCAACTTTACTAACAAGAACATAGACTTCTTCCATTTAAGGATGGCCTTTCTTTACGATTGCACCAGCACTGAAAAGAACCTTGCTCAATAGGAGGGTAGAAGTGACTTGATATAGTGTATAGCCTATGGAGGCTTGATTTGCTGCCTGTAAAACATAGATTTGTGGAAAAAGTGCTTTTCCTGCTTTTTAACCATGGTAACGTTTTGTTAGGAGGTTTAGTAGCACTTGTGTTTTAACTACATTTTAATGTTACAGCATGAATCAGACAACTGCAAGAAAAGCAATTCCTGGCTGTTCTCCAACCTAAAAGGACACTTCTGAGAAACTCTTGTTGCTGTCTTCTAGATTGTGTGGAGAGCATTCACCCTTGTTACCTGGGTAAAATACAAGAAATTTGGTTCGGATACTGTAAGGGAAAAAGAAGTGTCCAAGAAGCAAAGTGAGTCATAGTCATACCCCTGTAGTCTACATGCTGGAGAAAGAGACTTGCAATTCGCTTGCTGAATGAGGGGACCCTTGGTGCTATAGCAGCACTGGGCTCCTGTGACTTGTACGAAGGCCTCTGAGTCTTCAGTTCTCCTTCTGGAGAACCTATTACTGAGCATCTTGGTAAAGTGACTAAAACAGTGTTAACAAAGTACTAAGAAAGATAATAGTAGTGAAAAAGGAGACCAAAGTTTAATTCACCCAGTCTTTGATATTCCTGACAAAATACACGCACTGAATTTATAAACTAGTTAGGACTTTTATTTTTCACTTCTGATTTTAGCATGATCAGGTTGTGTTTAATCTGGATTTTGAAAGTAAGTAAATCACAACTTCAGAACATGTAGTGCCACACTTTGAGTTAAACAAGAACCTGAAAAAAAAAACCTGATCACAGACATCTGGCCCCTCCTTGAGACACAGAATCCTAAGCATGTAATATTCATAATAAGAGAATAACTTCGGTGTAGCTACCTGTATCAGTTGTGAATTTGGGTAAGGAAAAAGATATTCTACCGAGGTTGTATAAATTGCTATTAAGTACAAAGTATTATGAACAAATTGGCTTGGGAAAGTTAAAGAGCAGCTCAGATTTTCCTTTCCATCTTAGTCTAGTCTCTTGATCTAAAGAGACCTAAACATTTTTTTGCTTTACTCCAGTTTCCTTCTTTCCAGGAATGCCCTGTACTGAATGAAGTATTCAACAGGAAAGAATTCAACTTTTGCAGAGAATTCAGACAGATTTGTATGGAAATTATTTCAAATCTAGAAAATAAAATCTAGAAAATATAATGGACATTAAACATCTAGAAATAACTAGATAAACTTCTGAATCCTTCCTTCAGTCTCTCACTTCCTGAAGAGAACTTTTTTTAAAGGCTTTTTTTGCAGGCTTTTTTCTTTAAATTTTCTTTCTTTTTTTCTTTTTTTCTTTAAAGCAAATGAATGTGACTAACAGCTGAAGCACTGAGAAAGGTGAAACACTGTGAGAAAGGTTTTTCTTTCATCACTGGTGATGGCAATACAATCCCAAACCAAATCTTTTCTAGTGTTCTATAAATTCTGGACTTGTTGAGTTCTAGTTTTTGAGGTCTAGAAAATTCTGATAACTACCTGCTTGTTTTCAGTGAAAACTCTTTGAAATACTTTACTCCTGGTGATTTTTTTTCAATCCTTGGTGACTGTTCAGCTCAACAAGGAGAGTATGAATAATGCAGGTTTGAATGTGGTTTTTTTTTTTTTCCTTGAATTTGTATGCAGTGGTTTCTGAATACATTCATTCTTTTCTGGTAACTGCTATAAACTTAGGAAAGCATCTGTTCTTTTTGATGCTGCTTACAGATGGTGATCTGTATATTTGTTGCTGTCTACCTTCTCCTTCAAGTCATGTTTTAATTATTCACATTACAACTTTACAGTATTCTCCATTCACTTGCTTTAAATCACTCTCAGAAATGAGAACTATTTCTGACTTGGCCTCTTGTCAAAAAATCTCTTCCCCCCAGTTGCTTTTGAATGCAAATAATGGTTCACGTGGCTGTCTTCATTTAAAGTTATCTTCAACTTCTCAAAATATTTGAACATTTCTCATAATCATTCTATAGCATCAGTCACAGCTACACTTTTCATTACACTTGTCATTAGTTGTTTCTGTAGAGTTTGCTTAGGGAATTCAAGGCACTTTTTTATTCTGTCTCTCTAAAGGTAGGTCTTGCAGTGTTTAAAAAACAACAAAACAAACAAAAACCTCACCTCTAAGTGAAGTGGTAGATAATTCACATTGTAACATGAAAATGTTTTGTTCTTAAATCTATGTGGGGCTCAACATACCCCCAGATTTGCTATGGCAAAGATTGAGAAAGCACTAACATGCAAATTTGAACCTCTGGTTCTTGTATTCTCTCTGGAAATGTTCACCCACAACATGTATTGATGACTTTAAGACAATTTGTTGAGAAGAAGTTGTGGCACAAAACACCTTCCTTACATGTTTGTTTGCAAGACTGTAGCCTAGAAAACACAAATCTGCAGGGCTACTTATGTCGTATAACTTGTATTTTTCAACTCAGTTTGTAGTTATGATAGGCAAAATTGGTGCCATTGGTATTTCAGTTACTTAAGTGTATTGGGATGAATTTTGGGTCTCACAGGAGACAGACCTAGCTTTGGTCTCAGAACTGATGTAAGTTAATATTCACCTGCAATAAATAATGCAGAAAGTAGCACTTAATTGTTTTTGAGTAAGAAATAATCAAAAGTAGCAGTATAGTGTGTATATATATAACGTCTTGCAGTAAAAATACCGTTAAAATCTTCACTTCAAAAAGTAAACTGTGCAAAGGTTTTGGGAAAAATCTGACAACAATGCAGCATAAGTTTTTTTTTTTTTTTTTTTTTTTTTTTCTCCAAGTGGTTGTAAGGGCCAGATATTTTCGAAAAATATATGAAATATACTTGAGCTCATTGCTCACTGTTTTTTACCTATGTCTTGTTAGGGTGATTTCAGAATCAATTGCAGAAGGGTATCTTGGTCTCCTAGGATAAGTAAAATTTGTCTGCTTATGCTAAGCCCTGATGTTTTCAGTAGAAAAACAATTACCTAGAGTGATCTTGAAGTATTTTCCCAATTTTTACAGACTCAGGAGTCAAATGAGCAGAGAACTTCTAAACTGCTGAGCTAATCATTAAGTCTATGCTTTCTTATGGAAACTTTTTAAGAGAAAAATGGAAACTGAGTCAGTATGAAAGAAAATGAGGAATAAAAATATATTACTTAAGAAATGGCATAGACATTTTTCTTTGTGGCCTACAGAAAAAGGAAAGAATTACACATGTATTTACCCCAAAGAGATGCCCACAGTTCTTTAGGTCTTATGCGTAAAAGCTTTGCAGGAATATAAATGTAATGAGAGAATCCCTAGCTCAAAAGCTTGTGTGGACCCAGCAAAAACTTGATTTAGTTGCCATATCATTCAAGGTTTAGAAACCCCAACCTCAGAACTGCATTTTGTGTCATGGAAATAGATGTCTGTTTTGCTGCTTTGTGAGAAATGGTGAGAATATTACTACATTAAAAAAGAGGGAAAGGTTAAGTATTACAGAACTGTTAAATATGTACCCTTTTTGAAACGTTACACTGAAAGTGATGTTTGCTTACCACTGTAAAACTTCCTGTACTTAGAATGTCATTAGATCTATAATGAGAAGGGTATTGGAAAATGGGAAGGAACCAAATACAGATCATTGATATTAAAAAGCAACAGCATCAGACACATTTTTCCTGGAATCATGTTAAATATCATCCTGTTTTTTCCCTAAACATCAAATATATCAGTGACTCAAGTGGATGTATCCAAGGGAGGATTAAATGCCTTTTGGTATCATATGAGGATTTTTCAGGAATTACTTTTGTGAAGCAGCCAATGTGTTTATTTTTTATCTTACAGATGGAAAGCATGACTTTCCTCTTAAGAGAACAAATTTGTTTTCTTTAAGAATTATGGTTTTGGATCTGTCTAAATCACTTTGGTCTCCAGCATTGCTATATATAGGATTCCACATTGAATTTGAGAAAACAAGAGCTAAATATTTCCCTAGTTTAGAAGATCCCTATTTAAGTGGAGGGGAGTCCCAGTGGGCAGGAGGACACTAGTTAACTGGGAACATTGGTTTACTATTAATACATAAAGAATATTTCATTCAGTCTGATATGGATTCCTTCAAAAATACATGGGTCACAAGGCATGCTGTGAAGATAGTGTCCTATGAACTTTCCACCCCACATTCTAAACTTGCGTGTAAATCATCGTTCAAGGATGATAAATTGTTTCCAGAGAGCACAAACTTAGACATTTACCTGATTTTTTTCCTTGTTTGCTGAAATTTTACTTGTACCAGGGTTAGGTGCTAATGGTTAATGTATCCATGGGGTGTTCTTTTTCCTCTTGTGAGTCTTGAAAGCTGGTAAAAGTGTCTATCTGAAACATACATGCAAGGGAATCATCAAAAGCAATTTTACAACTGGGTTTACCATTAAGTGTTGACCTTTACAAAAGGCAGAAGTGATGCAGCTTTTTTGGACTTTTTTTTTTTTCTTTGTATAACCCTAATGTTAAACCCAGCCAATGTTGGCTGAGGCTTCAATTCTTGAATTTGGGTGAAGGTACATGTTAGGGTTCCTAGAATGTCTTACTCCAAGACAGGGAGTATGAAAAGGTGCGTAACAGGTAGCTGAAGTCAGAGGAGGGCTGGTCTTAATGTTCCTCTCCAAACACACCCTAGCCCTTGGGCCTTGTAGAGTCTTAAGTTGTCTGCTAGGGAAGCCATAAATCCATGAGTGCCTCTCTCATTCTCATCCCTCCTCCTTGTCAGCAAGAGTGCAGTGTGAAATTGATGAACAATTACAAGTTAGTGGTGTCCTTGGCAAAGATGATGAAAAGGAGCAACGGAATTGGCTCGCGGCCAGTTAATGTAATTGATGTCTTTAGAAATACTACAGAATTCCAATGTGCTGAATCTTACAGGAGTGATCGTCCCACGAGGACCAGAAATGCTGGTTCACTATGCAGAATGGGGTTTGAGAAGCAACAAGGAGTGTTAACATTTCTTCTTTTTTTTTTTTTTATGTTTGCAGTTCAGTTTTTATACTGGAGTAGCAGTTCCTGGTTTGTTTGTGGCAACTGGTGCTAAGCTTTCCTTTCAGCTTAATACCTCTTCCTGTTGTCCTTTTTTTTTTTCTTATTCCAAAATGTTAAGGTCTGAAGCCATCCTGTTGTGATGAAAAGCTGAGTAGCATGTATGACTTTTCATTATCTGAGGACAAAGTTTGCATGTTCAGTCCATGTTTTTTTTTTTTTCTTTTTAATCACAGTTCTTTAGAAGGCCTGAGAGATGCGGTTGCTGAGGCCTTCAGCTGTCCTTCCAGAGAGGAGGCAGCTTCTACATTTGTCAACTGTTTGTTGCAACTGGTGGCAGGCACCTCTCTAGTGAGTGGTCTGCAGCAATCCGAGCTGGAGCTCTCACAAAAGCAGTGCTTCAGGCATAAGGGGATTGAGGAGAGTATTAAGTGTTCCTGGACGTGGCTGAGGGCTCAACCTTCCTGTGACTTGCAACTGCATTGCACCCAAATCAGGCATGGCGCATGCCTGGGCCTTGAAACAGGGTGCCCTAGATGGAATAGCTCCTGGTAGATCTAGTTTTAGAAGGATTTTACCAAAATACCTCACATTAGTTGTAATGTTTTAATAACTTCTTTCTAAAATTATTGTAAAATCACACTTAAACCCCTTTTTCCCCTGCCACTTAAACACAGGAGAGTATTTCTTCTTCTGGAAATAGTACAAAAGCATCAGTGTATTTCAGGTAAATTTTTTAAGAGCCATTTCTTAAAGGTAAGAGTGCTTTCCCAGTGTTCACAGGCAGAGAGAATTAAAAGTAAAGAGCCCTTGTTTCATTAATAAATGCTAAATGCTCTGACCTGACCTTTTGTTGTTATACAGAGCAATTTAATCTAAATCCAAATAAAAATGCACCTAGAATATTTCAGGAACCAATCAGTAAAAATTATAGAAAAAATAGAAAAAATTATAGAAAATGCAGATAGACAGAAAGTCATTAGCAGCTACTACTATCACTAAAATAGTGCTGAGAAACTCTGCACTTTCTGTAATTTTATCCCCACTTGCATAATAGACTATACTATAAGAAATAGAGCTTGTGCATGCTAAGCTACTGTGATCAAACAAAAAGAACTGCATGGCAAAAAAGGCCTTGACTAATGTTGTATGAATAAGCCTGAAGCTTATTCAAGCTGATTCAAACACAAGTGCCTGTAGAAATGGTACTCAGATTTGGAGGCTGTCATATGCCATCTGTACAGTTGCAGGATAAGCAGCCATAGGCAGGGGAGTTCCATTGTATATTAATGCATCCAGCACATGGCTGGGCCTGTGTTTCTGGCTGTAGTTCAGGGCAAAAAGGATTGCTAAGATGAGCAGCATTTCCTCTTTGTCTTTTGCAGGTGACAAATTGAATGGGCTGAGGATATCACAGATTTGCTGGGTCATAAGGAGATGCTGAAAGTAGCATAGGTCTACCAAATTTTTCTCTCTACTCCAAAACTCTCGTTGGGTATTTGTTAGCATAGTGGAGATCTGCCCCAGAATCCTTTACTGGCTGCTATTGAGATTGACTTGTTTAGGTTTTTCTAATTCCTGTATCAAGCAGATGGGCTAAAAGTAATGAAATAATTAGTATCTGAGGAACTCCAATGTGTATTTTTATATGCAATTGAGAGTGGTGTGAAAGTTCTCTCCAAGGCAGCCTCAGCAGTCTGTATTTTTGGAAATTTGTTTTGTCCATTCGAATCTAACAGGAAGCAACGTAACAGCATCCGTGCTACTGATAAACATAATTTAACTTTTGGAAAGAGTAATTTAAAACATTGAAGATATGGAAACTCTAAAATCATACTGCAAAGAGTTCTAATTTTTGTCATCACTTGTGCTAGTAGTACTTAAATTAAGCATCAACACTTTCTTATTCAAGACTTGTGCAATGTCATTTTTCATTGAAAACATAGGTGTTGTATGGAATTTTTGGGGCTAAGTTGAGTGTTAGTGAGAAGGAGGAAAAAAAAAAAAATTTGTGAGCCATGAAACCAGTTGATGGTTTTGAGTATTTGATTTCAGGTATTGGGCTTACCAGCTGTAAAAATGCTTGAGCTGAGCTATAATACTCTTCATGGTTTATTTTCTTCTCTCTATGAAAGCACTGAAAGCAAAATATACATCCAAATGATCACTCAGATCCTGCAAAAGGAATTAGACTTTTTCCTGTAAATAGGCATCTCCTGATGTGGCTGTTACAGGTGACTTCTCCCCCCACACCCCCAAAAGGTTATATCAAAGACCCCTTTATAGAGGAGACCACATGTAATACAGTGAAACATTCCTGCTCTCCAGCCCTCCTGCTTAACAGTCTCTGTAAACAAACATTAGCTTAGATCAGAGAGTGTGGACACAAGATAACCCCTTCTGCAAACAGTGTGCGACTTCTAAAGCTAACACAGCAAATATGTTGTCTCTTTCTCCCTGGCCCCTTTGCTCAGGAGAAGGGAGTCTCCTCATAACTCAGCAGTCAAAGGACTCTTTGATGTGTTTGAATCTCCGTGCTGAGATCCCTGCTCAGTGACATGGGAACATTTAGAAGCTCTAGGTTCGTGAGGTTGAAGTAGTGGGTCAGGCTGAGACATGATTTGTTAAGTTTGCCAAGACCATGTCTGATCTTGGAGTGCCTGTGGGACACCCAAAATAGTGCATCTGATGTACTGACTTGCACGCAGCGCTGGAAGGGTGAGTGTCTTTGATTGCATAAGGGGGTACTTCACAGATTCCTGTTCCTGTGACTCAGAGCAGATACTTTCCAAATGTCTGGAGCCTATTCTTTTAGAAGAAAAAAATTCAAAGCATTTTCTTTTATAAATCCAAAGGAACATTTCACAATAAAAAGTACTTCTTTTAAACCAATTCACAATGGTATTTTTAATGTGGCCCTGAGCTCCTGATTAAGAACCTAATCCAACTCTTACTAAAGTAAGGGGAGTCTTTGAGTGTCTTGTACAGAAATAGGTGTAGCTTACAAATGCAAAATTCTTGACCGGGGTGTACTTTTAAAAGAACCCCTGTGCTTTATTTATGTATACATATTTGCATTTTTCTTTGTGGCAGTTTTTTTTGCTTACCTTTTTTTCAAGAATCCTTTGGGCATCAGATCTTATCTCCTTACTGCTTTCATTCTTAATTAGGATTTTAAATTTTGAGGGGATTATGAAAATCCTAGTCCTGAAGTACGAATCTAAGGTTTGATACCTTTGTCCATGTATAAGTTACTTATATAAGTCAGGAATGTCCTGATTTTGTTTTTCTTCCTGTAGTGGTAGCCCTGCAGAATACAGATGAAATTAGGGGGAGAAAATGGAGATTTAACCTAATTAAAAATCACATATTTGTTCAAATAGACAACTAGGCAACAGTTAGTCTTGGGTAAGGCTTTTTAAAATATCACATGGAGAAAGTGTGGTATGGTATAGCACAGGAGGATCTTTAAGTTGTGTCGTCATCCAAGTCCTTTACCTTTGAGTTAGTTGAGGCAGTCAAGGCTCTGTCATGGTTCTGTGCTTCCTTGTGCCCCGTGTTCATCAGAGTTTGGGAACTACAGAGTTCAGAGCCTCCACCATCTGATGTTGATGACTTCAAACAACAAAATTAATTAACTATTTCTTTTATGTTGAGTGCAAATATCTTGATTTCTGTATGCTGAAGATTTTCCTTCATATAACCACCTAGTCTTACTATCAGATAGTGCCTGATATTCCATCCCAAGTATTCTAGGTTTGTTTTCCTTAAACAGTGAGGTTTTGATAAAAACAGCAATAGGTTTTCTGCTTTAAAGGCTTTCATAAGAACAGCCCATAAATTTGCAGAGTTGAAAACAGCATGTTTCACCCTACAGAAATTTGTGAACCTTTTTTGGACATTCCTACACCTGTGTTACTATAGTTTTTGCAGTACATTATGTTGGAATATATCTTCATGATAATACAATCGTTAATTTGTCCCTGGCCAGTTTAGGCTGAGTGCAGGTGTGCTGGAATTCTTGAAGAGGTAGGTACACATTTTTCAAAGCTGCCACTCAAACAGCAGCATTGAAAATATCAGAGCTTTTATGCTATCAAAGCAGTGAGTCCTGTGAAAGTGAAACCATGCTCAGTTGGTGGCATTAACTGTATTTATCAGAGATTTCTCAGAGCCACCAATCTTCTTAACCCTTCAAATCATATCAAATATGAGACTAAATTAATACAATCATCCCACAGAAATGCTTTCAAATATGCCAGTCTGCAGCGTTCTAGTAGTTCTGCAAGCTAGTGAAACAAGCCCTGCAGCTTAGATTTCTGATTTAGAAAATTGCAGGGACC